CCCCAAAACCCCAAAACCCCAAAACCCCAAAACCCCAAAACCCCTTTTACATTAAAATAATAGAAAAAGAAAATGAGATCTGGACTGCTTAATGAAGGTTCCTATACTGAGAAGAGACCCAATCGGGTTATTATCTATGGAAAGCTGATTTTCCAAATTGCAATGATTATCTTCTCTTTTGTTTCCTTGATCTTTGCCATATCTGCATACAGTAGTCTTGAAAGCCACCATTATGCCGTAAAGGAATATATCAGAAACTGGGAGACCTTACCTCTAGTTGATATCAAAGTGAGTGAGACCTCTTGTCCTGAAGGATACAAGCCTATTTTAGAAAGAAAGTGGCCAGGAACTACCTATGGATGAGATTGTAGATATAGCACGGAGTATATACAAAATCTCTATAAGTATTCTTGTAGTACTAATCAGACAGATTCTGGATGATACGATGTATATCCAACTCCCTCTGTTCCTCTTACGAGAATGTATAATAATATCCTTTGTGGAAAAAGAGATGGAGAAGACTTTGTAAATTCAATTAGGCCTGTAGATGGGCAATGTCCAGAAGGATACAAACTATCTCATCCTGGAGATAAAAATAAGGCTCTATGCGTTAAGAATGATCAGCAAATCCCTATTAATGACATTAAAGTTCTAGACAGGAATTCTCCAACTCCTGAAGGCTTTACCGAGCTATTGCTTGGAGATAACTTCAGGATTGCGTATACAACTCAAAGCAATAACCTTCCAATGGTGCAGTTTAGACTAACAGAAGAGGGTGTTTGTGCAGATAAAAGAGAGTACTCAAAATCTAGAGGAAGAGATTTATATATACTTATCGATTCTAGTTCATATGATTATTGTAGCACCAAACTAGGTGATGTATATACCGATTCTAGGTTCGAAAAGGTTGGAGAAATTTTAGAGAAACGTCTCTTTGACGAGAATGGAGTTACAGCTAATATTCAAAAATTGCCATACTATCCCTTGAGTGACTCAAACAAGTATGTTTGGAACTTATTCCAAAACTCATTTTATTCTTGGGATCTTAATTGAGAATTGCAGAGTGGTTACTCTAGAGAATTAATGGTGGACTTAATGAATGATGCTTTAACAGTGGGCTCAAAACAGCTTTCTTTAATGTTGATCTGAATCTTCAATACTATTGTTTCTAGTCTTATGTTCGGATTATTATCCATCTATTTTCTTATCAAGGATTTGAAGCAAGAATATGAAGCAGGGTGATATAGACTGGTTCATGCTATTGTTGCTCCTTTGGTAAAATGGGGATTCTTTGCTGCAAAAGTCGCTTTTTATATTATCTGTCTCAGAGTCATTTCCCAGTACCATGATAGCATAGCAGAAATGAATGATGCACAATGTGCAGACCAAATGGCAACTATTTACCTTAAAAACTTTGGAAATAATCTCCTCAATACAAAGAGCAAGAACATAAATGGATTAGTCACAACTAGTATCTCTATCGTACTGAGTTTCTTGATGCTCATGCTAACCTGCATTTCATATACCATCAAATTGGTAAGGAGTAAGTAAAACTTGATCAATAATACATTCAACCAATGTCTCGCTATAAGGGGTTTTGGGGTTTTGGGGTTTTGGGGTTTTGGGG